GCACCAGTTCTGCCATAGTTTAAAGTGAAGTTTGCAGAGGTTGCTTGATTTTGAGGTTCCCGTAAGTATTGTGTAACTTGTCACTTAATGTTTTTGAATTATTCACATTTACTTCTTACTTATTTTGGCTCTTGGGTCAGTGATTGTTTCATCGCCATGTTTTTTTCATGCCATTTTTGCAGCTGGCAACTTCTCTGTTCTTCTCTGTTCTTGGCCCCTGTCACATAAACAGCCGTTCGAAGCAAGCCCATGCACGGCTTGTTTGGTAGTTGAGCTTATTTTTCTTTTTTGGATGTTAATTTACTGTTTTTGTTTTCAGAATGATTAATATTGTTAGAGTTTGTCCAAGTTTTGGTAGTAAAAGCAGAAGAGATTCATCTTTATTGTAAGAGGAGGGAAAAAGTGCCCGACTGAGGCGGATTATCTTTTTTTGTAGTGAATTCGTTCCAGTGTTAACAGCACTGGTTTTTTGAGGGAAATCGAGGAAATCTTGAGAGAAATCGATAGTTACTTGAGGAAATTTGAAGAAAGCGACTGTGTTACTTATTTGCTAGGTGAAAAGGTCCTTCTTCCCCACTTTCCTTAATCTCTACTGTTATGGGCTTCGCTGAATTTGTTATTGTTGAATTTTATCAAGTAGTTGTTTATAAAAATAAAGCATCCGTTAAAACAACAACCGTATTTGCGCGTTTCACTCTGCACACGGCTCCATTCTTCCAAAATACTTAAACGATTTTTGTAACCAAGCATATCATGGAAAGGGGTCAATACGATGTAAGGATCGACTTGAGTCGAGGCGAAGAAGACTTGGTAATTAATAGTTTCGATGTCCATCTGTGTGACTGACCATTTCACTATCGGCTTCGATCTTGTACTTTCCATGGTTTCGCTGCTTAGTGTGAACACCTTATATTCGTTTTTCCCTTGTTCTTTGCATTTCTAGCCGCTCATTTTCTGAGTGATTGCTATTTTCCATGTCTCGCTTCTCAAAAGTAATATAGGGGAGATGGTGATTTGGAGAATTTCTAGCCTAGGCATGGTGGGGTTTGCTTGTTTGAGATTTCCCAATGTTTTTGAGTGCATTTCAACCTATTCTTTGTCGGCTCAACTATCCATGCGAATTCCCTTTCGTTTTAACTGCTTCAACATACTTCTGTAAGTTCGACTTTTTAAGTTTCTAACTTTATGACGAGTTCTAGGTCGTCAGCATTCTTCGCCCATACCAAAGTTAATTGCAGAATGAATTCACCATATGCGATTTAAATAATATAGAGCAAATTCAGAAGCCGGGACAGGAAAAAAACCCACCTAGTAACATTTTTGTCCAGGGCACTGTGTCTAATATTGTATGCTTGTAGCGCAGTACCTTACTAACAGATCTGCCAAATCGTGTTTTTGATCTTTATGGAACTCATAGCATTTTATATTCCAGATAAACGTAGGAATGACTGTTAAAATATTTTGGTAGTTTTTGATCAGCTGTAATTCGTAGTATGATTCTCCAATTATGGCAACTGTTCCGGTTACTCTGACCAATGCTGTATCTTCTACGGTGGTCAGAGCAACTGGAAAAGTAGCTAATGATCTAGATATTCGTCTTTGTCTCCGGTGCTTAACGACCCTGGTAACGCTTTATCGGTCTGGAAATGATTTTGCCGCATGTTTAGCATTACCATTTCGCCCAAGCGCTGACACTCCTAGACCGCGATAAAGCATCTTACCGTTGGAAAATGTGTTTCGAAAGATGTATGATTTTAAAAGTCCCATGTCTAAAAAAATGCGGAGTATGACTTAGCAACTACAAACTGTCGGTGAACTTCACATTTACAGTAACCTATCCGGTGTTAGCGTTAGCAGAGAAACAATTCCAGCTTACTTTTTTTGCCCCTAAATCTGCTTTTTTTGTGCTTGAATTCAACCTTTCCAGACCTTGCTACTCCATTTTCCATCATTTTCCAGCGCTTTTCCAACGGATCTTTGTTCCTTGACAGTTTGCCACGTTTGCTTGACTCGGTTGCAACTGATCTCTCCCTCTCTCCCTCCAGCTCAGTTTTGGCGCTCGCTCAAGGCAAACGCACTAATGTATGGGTATTTATTCACCATTGCTCGTGACTGCTGCATTCGTGTCTTCTAACAGCTCCCAATTTTCCTGTCTTTTTCGGTAAGCCATCGTTTATTGTTTTTAACTTATTCTGTTTTGTCGAGGAGCAGCTAAAGGAAGTACAGGGGCGAAAGAACTGTCAGCAGAATGGGCGTGGCTGAAGATTTTGGTGTTTTCAGTGGTTGTGTGTTTTTGAGGCACTACCGTATCAACGTCGCGAGGCGCTCGATGTAATTGCTGCAGTGTTACCGTACTCAACCGCACTTGATCGCCACTGGTTTTTTCTTCGGTTCATAGGCGGGCTTCAAGACGGCCTCCGGAGGAGAGGGGCTGGCGGGAGGGGAAGAACAACGAATGGGGCTTTTATCGGTGACGAGCGAGGGAGGGGGCGATCGACGACGCGGGAGAGAGTTTTCTTCAGTTTTAGCACTGCTCCCTATGCCGCTGGCTGGTGGGGGAGTGGGGACGAAAGATTCATCGCTCTCCCTCCCTTTCGACCCGCCAGTACTTCGGTTTCTAACCTCATTTGCACCACGAAGGTGCTTCGACTTGTCCGAGGTGCAAATGGGGGCATCCGCTGGTGCGTAGCTTTCAGTCATGTCTTAGAGCGAGAAGCGTTTCCGCATTTTACTTTCGTCTGTTGGTCACGTCTTCCCACAATCGAGCACTGTAGGTGCCAGTGTAATTTCAAGAAAGCATGAGCTCGCAAACAATCTTTGCCCCGATTTCGACAATTTATCATTTGACAGCCACACTTGGAGAATTATAGCTGATTCAGAAATCATAATCGGTCCAAAAAGATGGAAGTGAGGGAGGGTTGCAGACGAAAAATGAGGAATTTTTGCTTTTTTTTATCTGTCAGATAGGGAATGTAATTGATCTGGCATTTCGCTGCAAAAGGAAGAAAACAGAAAATTAGAAAATATTCGCTACAGTCACAAGAAGCAGCAGCGGCCCAAGCAGCACTTGTTACAGTTTAGGACAAAGCAGCTATGGAAAGATTATTAGTTGTAGTAGTGGCGCGGTGCATTAAAAGACGATTGCTTAGAGTAAATCTGTTCTACCACTAGATCATATTTCTTTTTCAGGATATGCTTAGTGTTCTTGCAAAGCGCGCATTCTACCAATGTCAAACCTCGCCGTTCCTTCACTCGCTCAAAAGTCGATTTGGTTGGAGTCGGAACGAACGATATCGACGACGATTGGAAGAACTGAAAAGGAAAATTGAGCAAAAATCGACACAGGAATTACCGTATCAGAAAGATTTAATTCCAGTACGTCCACCCAAGGATCTGTGGAAAGCATGTGGATTTACTGTTGGAGTAAGTGCAGTTCCTTGCTTTTTGGTAGGAAATACTCAAAGGGCAATATTTACGGGGCAGACAGAAAGACGGATATTGGGCATCAGAAATCTACGCGAAGATTTCTATGATTTTTCAGTTGTTGAAAAAAAAAGAGTTTTGGGGACAGTTGAAACCGTTCTCGCCATAATTTTCTGTTTTTGTTTTGTTCTTTCGCATACGACGCA